GTGTGTGTGTGTGTTTTGGGAAATAGCATCTGGAAAGGTGTGGAAAGTGGAATAATTTACAGTGATCAATTTTACTACCACTACTCGCTGATGTAAAAGTTTAGTCAAATGAAAGTTGTTGGATTCCTGTGAACAGAAACATGGCTGCTACAGTATTATTTAGCAAGGGCAAAAAGGCTTTGTTGTGGTATCAATAAACAGGGAGACAAAAGATGGTTATCAGATCTTATCTAAACTGATTTATTTAATGGTTTAGCTAATTCTTTAGATGTTGAATAAAAGGCAAATACTTATAAAGCACAAATATTCCTTTTTTCTAACATTTGTCTAACTGACTGCACTTTTAATTCCAACAGAATATCACTACATTGTCTAATAATTCCCATGATTTCAGGTTCCAGAAAAGGGTTATAAACTTGCACTATCTGGCGAGATTACGCTTGCCCTGTTTCCTTATTTAACAATAAATCACCAATTGGCATGGATGTTGCGACATTCAGTTGTCTTTAAACATTTACCAATATCTATCAATTTTCTCTATCATAACATTAATTGCACACTTCTTTGGTATTTGTTAACGAGAGCAATGCACCCTCCAGAGACAATGTTTCATCCATCCAGTGATTTATTCTCATATACCTAAACATTGGGGTATCATGCAAACCCAAAAGGCACAGGACAAAGTTACGGCAGTCGTATTCACTTATCCATATTCTAGGGCTACGTCAGTCCACTGCGCATGCGCATAATCCGGTCACTTTGACAATTACGTTTTATGAGGCATCTCCCATTTCCAATCCAACCTAACCAACCTAATCTAACCGAATATAACCTAAATTGTTAGGTTGGTTAGGTTTAGGTTTAGGTTTAGGTTTAGGTTTAGGTTTAGGTTTAGGTTTAGGTTTAGGTTTAGGTTTAGGTTTAGGTTTAGGTTTAGGTTAGGTTTAGGTTTAGGTTTAGGTTTAGGTTTAGGTTTTAGGTTTAGGTTTAGGTTTAGGTTTAGGTTTAGGTTTAGGTTTAGGTTTAGGTTTAGGTTTAGGTTTAGGTTTAGGTTTAGGTTTAGGTTTAGGTTTAGGTTTAGGTTTAGGTTTAGGTTTAGGTTTAGGTTGTTTAGGTTTAGTTTAGGTTTAGGTTTAGGTTTAGGTTAGGTTTAGGTTTAGGTTTAGGTTTAGGTTTAGGTTTAGGTTTAGGTGTAGGTTTAGGTTTAGGTTTAGGTTTAGGTTTAGGTTTAGGTTTGGTTTGGTTTGGTTTGGTTTGGTTTGGTTTGGTTTGGTTTGGTTTGGTTTGGTTGTTAGGTTAGGTTGTTAGGTTAGGTTGTTAGGTTATTCGCGTCGCCCACCATTTTTGTTGAATGCAAAATCGGAACCCAAACATGTACGCACATGCTCAAAAGGCACTGCTGTAGGACTAGCACAGTTGGTGCTGATTACAGCTGCCGTAACAATAGACAGTGCAAACCCCAAAACCCAAACTTAACCTTTCCTACTTTCTATCTATTCCCTAAACTGGGGCAGTAAGTCCCCTTGCACCTCCCTATATTAGCACTTCGGCTAGCTTATAGAAAACTTGATATAACGAACTCGGGCTATGTGAGGGTGTTGTCTTAGCCTCTACGTCCCTTGCTCAAACATATGAACAACTGAACCTCATCCTTTAAGCATGAACTACCACAAAGAATGCCAAAGAAAGCAAAAACTTTCCTTGGGGGTTGGACCCTCGACCCCTTCCAGTCATTCTTTCTCCCTGGCATGTGTGGTTCTTTTGTGTACTTTGATTATGCATGGTAATATAAGACTAGTTGACATGCGGCAGTAATGAGTTGTGCATTTAGTCATGTACTTGATACTGAACTGTAAAAATTATGACTTTGAAAAACGTGTTCAAGTTAAGATAATCAAATAATTATCAACATTGCAATGTGACATCTTTTTTTCACTTTCATGCAGTTAATTACACTCGAAAAAAAGCTTTCCTTGGTTTAACCAATCAACCAAAATAAGTTTACGAATATCTCTTCGGGTATTCTGAATGATCACACTACTGAAAGATAATTATAAACAGGAAACATTATTTTCATCGAGAAATGCCCTCCGAAATAGGCCTACCCCTAAACCTGACCGAATTTTCTGATCGACTGCTTTTTATGTTTCCTCAACTCAAGATTTATCCTTTAATCGAACTCCTGGATCCTAACTGACTGACAGGCTTCCGTTTGACTCTTTCATTCAGGATTCTCCCAGCCACGAGTCATGGCAAGGTTCAGCAAGACATGCAATCGCCTCCCGAAGGGAACCACGGGCAGTGCACTCAAGAAAGCCAAGATCCTGGCACAAGAAGACATTATATACAAGTGTACTTACTGTTCCTTTGTGCCTAACTTTGAGGATAAAAATTCATCAACTTCCTCCATTGCTGTCAGTTGTTTCAGAGGGAGAATAAGGGAGTATACTTAGTTTAAAATGAATTGCGTTAGTCCTCCCGCTAAACACGTTCTGCTTAC